AGCTATAAAGCTTAAAGCTTGTATATACAACTTAGTTATTGGAAGACTGTCAGATATAGTGAGGGAAGAAGAGAGACTGAATCTTGTAGGTGAGGTAACATTTCCAAGTGTTTTTGAACAATAATTACCTGTGCTATTCTAGTCCCTGATCAAAATTTATGATTGAGCACAGGCTATAAACTTAATTGTTGGAAATTTGTAGTGGGCATATAAAATTTTTAACCTAATTTAAAACATGATCTAGTGTTAAAATTTTCTCTGCAAAATTTGTTTATTGTTTAATGTAGATTAGATGCAAAGCTCTTAGATGCTTTACAAAAGGTACTTAAGAAGTGATTATTAATCATCTTTGATTTATTGATAATGTTTTAAATTTCATAACCATACCAGAAATCTGAATGACTCGTTTCTTTGCCTGCTCTAATTAAAGTAGCTACCTGTGAAGTTCTATAGAGGAGAAGTTTATAAAAAAATGTGTGAAGTTATGTTAGCAAAATAATATTCATCTCTAAAAGCAAAAGAAAAAAATTGTATTTACTCTAACTTGAGTATTTTTGAATGCCTTTTTGTTGACTTATTTAAAACACTGTGTAGCCCAGGTTTTACTGTGTGGCTCAGACCAGCCCGGAATTCTCCATGTTCATCCAGGCTGTTCTGGAACTCTGAATCCCCCTATCTTAGGTGCCTACCACTTGTTAAGGTTGCAGGCACATGGATAGTCTCCATGTCCAGCTCTTGAGTATATTTTTCAAGAAGAAATCCATATTTAAAATATTTAAGCAGATTTAAACAAGGTTTTGAAAGACCTCAGTTACAAGTATGAAATGTAGTAAGAAACAGACAGACCCCTATCAATCTGAAGTGAGGAAATAAAACTTCAGACTTGCGTACATTCTGCACATGGATAGTGCAAAATGTGCAGACTTAGATGTCAGTCTTACATTTGGCTGCTCAGCATTACTAAATTATAGAAAAAAATATTTGCTTTTCTTTTCTTTTTTGGATACTTTCCACTTGGTAGTCAGTTTAACAATCAGTCTTCCAAAGAAATCCTTGAAGTCTTGATGTGCGCACTTTTAAGATGTTAGTCTGAGAGTATTTGCTCTTCTTGGGTGTCTGAGTCTCCTTGAGGGTCTGATTGATGCTATGGACCCGTTTCCCTGAAGCTACATCTCTGCTCACGCATACAGAATCTACTGTCCATCTGTTGCTGGTGGTAGCCCTCTAAAGCCCGCTTGTGATTATCCTTAAGCATAAAGGATATTGAGTTCTAAAATTTGCCCTAAGTAGCTTACGTGTAATTTTTTTTCTCTAAAACTGTGCTGAGACAATTTCTCCATGTTTATTTTTGCTCATTTCTTAGAAGAGCAATGGAGTTCATGCTACTTCAGAGCAGGTGATGTCTGGTGGAGGAGTACGCTCAGTCACTGGGGCCCCAGGCCTTCGAGTTCTTTTCTCCTTACCCACCAACCAGCTGAGTGCCTTTTGAGAAATGTCTCTCAGGCTTTGCTTTCTTGTGTGTTTTCTATATTCTTTATAAGCAATTTATAATCAGTTTCATGATCTTATGGCTTCATGATTTTCACTTTATTAGCTTAGGGTTGGATGTGCCACTGAATTTTGGAGAAAATGCCTGGGCAATAGATACATATGCATACATTGTACTGTCTTTTTGCTGACTTCTCAGAAGAGTTTATGTCATTACACTTTTCTTGACGCTGTATTAAAAAGAAGTTAAACTCATCCTATCCTGATTGTGTTTGAGTATCAATGGATTTTATATATCCTGGGTATATGTATATATATATTTTTTTATTATATATATCACAATTATCTCTCAATTCTTCAGCTCACCTTTTCAATCATACTTTAAAGAATTTATTACATTTATTTATTTATGTGTATGTCCATTCATGCCAGAAGATGATTTGCAGGAATCGTCCACATTGTGAGTTTCCACAATGTGGCTTCCACAATGTGAGTCCTGGGGATCATTAGGCTTGGCTATAAGCCCTTTGACCAACGGAGCTATCTTGCTGGTCTTCATGCATTATAAGGTATTTCATTTTGTGTTTCAAATGAACACAAGTTCTGAATTTTAGTTTAGTCTAATTTGTTAGTCTTTCTCTTTTCATTATATTTTAAAGTGGTATTGTCTTACTTCCTGGTAAATGGTGTAGAAAAAACAGTTTTAGAAACTCATTCATAGCCGGGTGGTGGTAGCACACGCCTTTAATCCCAGCACTCGGGAGGCGGAGCCAGGCGGATCTCTGTGAGTTCGAGGCCAGCCTGGGCTACAGAGTGAGTTCCAGGAGAGGCGCAAAGCTACACAGAGAAACCCTGTCTCGAAAAACCAAAAAAAGAAAAAAAAAAAAAAAAAAGAAACTCATTCATCTATGTAGTTAATACAGTGGAAGACTGATGTCTAAGGCGTTATCTAACAAGAAAGTTGGGGAACTAGGAATCTGAGCCTGGAGCAGTTTGTTTCCATTCAACCAGTCTACTGACTTGACCACTTATTGAGTGCTCACTGTGTGCCTGGCACTGGTTTAGGTATCTCTTGAGTGGTACTGTGGACTCTTCATTATAGTAACTGAAATAATGAGAATCTACTTTTTTTGTGGGCCTAATTATATTTTATTTGAAAGGATTTTAGAAGTTGAGAGGCAGTAATCACAAAAGCTAACTGTATCATTAAGTCACAAAGTTGAAGAAATTTTATTTAAAAAAAAAACGAAGTGGTTCCAAAATAGCTTTTAGTTGTTGAAGACAGCAAAGACAATGTAGGATTTAGAGGATAAAAGTATTTAAAAGCTTGTTAAAGAACACAACAAACAAACAAGCATGAAAAAAATGTGTCTTAGATTTTAAATCCTTTCATAAATTAATATAATTTCTTTTTTCTTCCTTTTTTGTTTTGTTTTTCAAGACAAGGTTTCTCTCTGTAACCACCCTGGCTGTCCTGAACTCACTCTGTAGACCAGACTGGCCTCAAACTCACAGAGATCTACCTGCTTCTGCCTCCTGAGTGCTGGGATTAAAGGCGTACGCCACCACACCCAGTAATGAGTATAATTTTTATGACACTTCACTGACATTCAAACAGCAGAAAACTCGTCTCTAAAGAGAGTCTCAGCACTCTGGGAATTGGTTAAGAATTTACCCTGCATGTGGGATATGTATGAGAAACAACTTAGGAGACTTAGAATATCTGCAAATGTGAAACTGTTTCTGTAAATTGCACCTGTCGACCCTAAATCCAGTTAGTAGGGGTCAGCTATGGCTCAAAGCTCCCATCCTTGGCAGAGAGAGTCATATGAAGCAGGAAGACACTTAGAGTTTAGTTTTTAGTAACTGCATTATTCTACGGATCTGTTGCATGATTTTTCTTGTGGTTGGGAATCCATTCTAATCCCTATGATTAAAATAGCTATTTAGATGGACTCCTGAGAACTTTGAAAAGAACTGTAGTCAGAGAAAAAGGAGGAGCTGGGCATGTTGGCGCACACCTTTAATCCCAGCACTCAGGAAGCAGAAGCAGATGGATCTCTGTGAGTTTGAGGCCAGCCTGGTCTACAGAGTGAGTTCCAGGACAGCCAGGGATATGTAGAAAGACCTTGTCTTAAACACAAACAAAAGAAACAACAATAACAGCAACAAAAAAGAATGAAGAATAGCCAGGTTAATGTCTTTTTGGAAATAAATGTAGACTGCACGAATCAAGGGCCTTTTAAATAACTTTACTGTATGCTTAATATGACTGTACGTGGTTAACAAAAATTTCTCATCTGAGAGACAGGATCTTTGAAATACACTAAGGAAACAAGATACTGTTGGAGTAGCATAGGTCAGCAAACATGTTTTAGGCATAATGAAGACTGAGCATGTCGTGGAGTTTAGATAGTTTAGTGCTCAAAATGTTAAGGACTCCATTTTAATTTTAGTTCCCTAATACTAGGTCAGAATATAAGGATTTCTTTCTGCCTTTATCACTAGTTATGAATGTGACAAAGAAGAACCATTATGGTTTGTGGCTTACAGTCCCAAGCAGTGATAGAAATTTAAGAATATGGATGAAAATTTAATTAAAAATCTGATTATATTATTTATTACTAATATACTAATATTATTTTATACTTATTATACATTATATAATATTGTGACTTTAAAGCTTTGCATGAAGCAAATCCATTTAAAGATTTATTACCAAAAGACCTTTTAGGTGGATCAAACTAAGGACTTACAGTATTCTTTATGCTTTATTGTAAAGAGAGTGCATCGGAGCCATTTGATTAAATAAAATACATATGGCTAGGTCTTTTATCAGTCTACAAAATTTCCACATACGTTCACATGCATTTACAGCCGAGAGCAGTGCAAACAAACGTTAAGTGTCACATCACAGCTACATGAAGCTGGCTGGTAACACTGCATGGTTGGAATAGCTCATAGTCCCTCTTGTTGCTTTCCAAGTGTGGTTCGAGCTCAGGTGTGTAAGTATTTGGAAAATGTGGCAGTGTGCTGGTCTCTCTCTGTGTGGGTGTGCTTATCACTCACTTTTCACTGTTTTTGCATGTTACCTGAAAAGCACAGAGTATCAGTTGATAACTGTTAGTTTCATTGGTTGACAGCTCAAGGTGGAGCTAAGGTAGTTAAGTTTTTTTAGGAACCAAAATTTTTGCTCTAATTTTGTCTCAGGATGTCTGTGCCCTTAGCAATGCCCTCCCCATTGTTCAAGGGTCACCTGTCCTTATTTTTCCTGGTCTTGAAAAGCTGTGTTAAAGCAGAGGTTTAACTGCTCTTGAGTTCCTTCTTTGCTGTAAAAACTTCTCATTTCTTCCTTGTGTACTGTTGGGTTTTAAATTTTAGAGATTGGTATTTGTTTTTTGGGGTTTGTTTTTTTTTTTCTCCTTTAAAGTCAGAAATCTTTTGAGTCTTTAGCTTTTGATGACATCATAAATCTGTTTGTAGTTTTAACTCTGCTTTTCCTTCTGTTACAGGGGATTAGAGAGCTGAAGGAGAGCCAGTTTCCCCAAAATTGGTAAGTACTTTAAGCAAGCATAGTGTGCCTGATTCTAGCTGGACTCATTCAGATATTAAGTGACATTATAAGTGATTTTTTTTCCCTCCAAAAAAAGCTTCCTTCCTCAAAAGAAAGGCTTGGCTGTTTGCACTGAAAGTGAATTTTTAGCTTCACATAGCTGTATCTGAAATACATTTGTGTTTCTTTCTCATAACTCCACTAGACTTGCATGCTCCTGAATTTGATAACTCATTAAAAGTTGAAGGTCCTCTTGCCAAAATGCCCTTAATGCAGTAGTTAGGCCTGAGGATTCAGTCAGGAAAGACAAGTTCATGTTCCCATTGTGTTCTGTATTACTGTGTTGTTACATTTGAGGCTCCCCTATGTATAGACTGGCCAGGTTACTGTAACCATGGGGCCTTCTTCACCTTGAAGTTGGAGCCTCTTGATGTCTATATTCTTACACTTGACATTAGATTGGCTTCAAGTCTGAGATTGCTTTTTAGTGTGTGTTGTTTTGTATAATTTTTAAAAGAAGAGAGAAAGAGACAAGCACATTTTTCTTGATAGTTACTTTCATAGACTTTTTAACAGCTTGTAACTTATACTTATTCAGTTTTTGGATGTCTTAATTCAAGATCCTAGATTGTACTGGGTGATCTGATGCAACTAAGCATCTGACAGATATTTACTTTATTTGGAGAGCATGTGCTTTGAAAAAAAAGAAATCAAGCTTTATTTGTGTAATTCTCTAATGTAAGGCTGCTTAAGAAAATATAACAACAACAAAAAAAAAACCTCTGTCCTCAAATAGTAGTTAACTTATTGTGTAGAATAGTTAGAGCAGATATTTGGTTTTGACTTTTTGAGACAGGATCTCACTCTGTGTAGCATTGGCTGGCCTGAAACTGGCTATATAGACTAGACTGGCTACGAATAAATACACAGATCTGCCTACTGAGTGCTGGGATTAAAGGCGTGCACCACCACCATGCCCAGCAGATTTTTGGCTTTGTGGTCCTACTAGTATCTCTCTGGGTTTTGAAACTGGGATTTGAATGTATGAGGGAGTCTCTTGAGCCAATGTACCTTGAATTTTGCTACTATTTAATTCTATTGCCTTTCCCTCATGGAACCTTGTAAACTAGTAATCAAGACCCTTTACCTTGTGGTGTTCTAGAACCATGGCATCTGTCCTGCATAGCAATTGCTTTGCTTACATCCCTGACAGGTTGTTACTTACTCAGGTGCACATTGAATACTACATTGAAAAAAAAAAAAATGGAGACCTTTGTTTTCTGTAATGAATGTGTTTTGAGAAACTCTGGTTCTACAGAAACTGAAGAAGTATTTCTGAGGTTGGGGCTGGGGTGGGAAAAGGGTTCTGTGGTCAAATAATTTGGGAAATGCTGCACTAAACTAAGTTAAACAGGTTTCTTTACTGCAGGACTTCTCAGAACCTTTAATATGCTAATGTGCATTGTGAATCTCCAAGATGGGGATATGATATGCAGCATTCTTGAATACTTCTAATGACAGGGAGCCCACTACCTCATAAGGTAACCCATTCCTTTTTTGTACAGCTCTAATCCTTAGTTCTTTATACTGATCTGAAATCTATCTTCCAGGACTTTACTTCACTAAGTATGATATGATTGTTTATGCTGGGACCACCACACCTTCCTGTGCTACCGTTTTTTTTTTTTTTTTTTTTTTTTTGTAGTGTATATTTATAAGCTTCTGGCCAGGCTTGCCTGAACAGCTCCCACCCTCAAATCATTGAGTGACTTTTCAGTAAATGTGGCAACCAGTTCTAAAATCTTAGACACTTTATCACTGTGCTTTTGTGCACCACTTCCGACCTTCGTTTTGAGTTTCTGTAAACTAAATTTTACTTCAGTGTTCCCCTTGTTGGGTGTGGTTGAGATTTTAAATGGCATGCTTCCTTTCCCTACGGAAAGATAGGAGGTAGAAGTATGTAAGTGTGCAGGCAGTCTGTGTCCCAGAAGCTGAGTCTGACGAATGCACTGGGATGAGCCTGATGCTGGTAAGACATGCAGCCTCTGAGGAGATGTTGTGGGAATTCCTGGCCTGACCCAGAATCCACAAGAGCCCTTGGGCTGCAGTGCTGTGAACTCTACATAGTCTTTAGAAAAAGAAATGACCTGTTCTCTTCCCTGTAAACCCAGATAAATAGATAATTTAACAGATAAGAAATGTTTATTAATTAGTAAACAACAGATAATTTAACAGATAAGAAACGTTTATTAATTAGTAAACAACAGTAACTATTTAGTTTAATAGTTTGGAAACACCCAGCTAACTGTGGTGGTTTTTGTCAATAGCTGTCATACCAGGACTTGAGCACACAGCCTGGTCAGCCTCTAAAGTCAGGGTTGTCAAGTTTTATGAGGTACATTTTCTGTTGATTTGTGGAGTGTCACCAAAGAAATACCACCCTGAAAATAAGTCAAGATATAATGAAAATTTGCAGAATAATAAGGAAAAAATTAGATTTTCCTATTTAAAAAACACCTGTGAATGTAGATCAGAAGCAGATGCTTGTAAACATAAGAAATGCATGGTATAAAGAGCACAGAGCTCTTTTTAGGGACAGTTTCAGAGCACACTGTGTTATGAACTTATTAAAGTAACTCTTGGTTGGCCTGGCAGATTTGGATAGGAAAAGAATTCTTGTCAGTTTTGTAGTGAAGTATTTTTATTTCTTAGCAATAAAAGAGATTAGAGCTTCCCTACAAGTCCTAAGAGTCATAGCAGAAGACCCAGAGGTCGTGTGCCTTCATGGAGAATGTTCAGAGCAATAGCAGCCTCATTCTTAGACAATTTGGACTTTTTAAATTTTTTTTTTTTTTTTCAATACAGGGTTTCTCTGTGTAGCTTTGCGCCTTTCCTGGAACTCACTTGGTAGTCCAGGCTGGCCTCGAACTCACAGAGATCCACCTGGCTCTGCCTCCCGAGTGCTGGGACTAAAGGTGTGCGCCACCACTGACCGGCGGACTTTTTAAATTTTATTTTTTATTTTTAGATTCATTTTTATTATTTTGGGTGTACAGGTGTTTTGCACGCATGTACATCTATGCACCAAATGAGTTTCTGGTGCCTGAAGAGGTGGTGAGCCTCATATGGATGCTGAGAATCAAACCTGGGTCCTTTGCAAGAACAGCAAGTGATCTCAGCCACTGAGCCAACTCTGCAGCCTGAGAATTTGAGAAAGTTTAAGCATGGAGAAGTATGTCAATAGCCCAAAACTTGGTGGTTTACAACAGGCTTTTCCAAGCCCTTTACTTGATTTAAATCTCATAACAGTCCTGATATAGGTGACATGAGCCCCATTTTCCCAGGGGATAAAATTGGCTACACGATGGATAGTTTTGTTTTGTTTTGTGGGAGGTAGTAAATATTCTTTCTTCACTATCCAGCTACCTTTTTTTTTTTTTTTTTGGATGAGATCTAATTATTGTTTGTTTAGTTTGTTATGATGTTTGGGGTGTGTGTGTGTGTGTGTGAGTGTGTGTGTGTGTTTGAGACAATGCCTCTTTTAGTCCAGGCTGGCCTTGAACTCACTATGTAGCTAAGGATGACCTTGAACTCCTGATCCTTCTGCCTCCACCTTCCATGTGTTAATGATTACAGATGTGTACCCTGGTATCTGGCTGTTTTCTGCTTTGTTTTGTTTTGTTGCTTGAGAAGCTATTAGGTTACCTGATGGTTTAATGTATACAGTGTTGAAGGCAGAAGGTTGGCATGTTGTGCTCGGCAAATGCTCTCTCGGCAGATGCCCTCAGTGATGGAGGTATGTGTAGATGTTGGGTAGAAAGTGTCTGTTACTGTCTTGTGAGTCTGTTTATAGTCACCTTTCAGTCTCTTATCTTCTCTCTCTCTTTCTCTCTCTCTCTCTCTCTCTCTCTCTCTCTCTCTCTCTCTCTCTCTCCTCCTTTCCTTATTAGAATTGGGCAAATGTAATAGATTATCTTTTATACATTTAGAAGTAACAGCTTTTGGGGGCTGATGAGATGGCTCAGCAGGTAAAGGCATTTGCCATCATGCCCGAGGCCCTGTTTGACCCCTTGAACCCACATGGTGGAAGGAAAGAACCAACTCCTTCAAATTGTCCTCTGACCTCCACACATGCTGCATGGCATGTTTGCTCTACCCAGTAAATAAGTGATATTCTAAAAATTTTTAAAAAGTAATACTTTTTGTGAAGCTACAGACTGCCTCTAAATATTATTCACATGATGCTGCATATGCTAAGATTCCAGTGGTTTTTTTGTTTGTTTGTTTGTTGTTGTTGTTGTTGTTTTCCTGAGACAGGGTTTCTCTGTGTAACAGCTCTGCTGTCCTAGAATTCACTCTGTAGGCTAGGCTGGCCTCTGCCTCCTGAGTGCTGGGATTAAAGGCATGTACCACCACTGCCTGGCTTCTAGTGTTTTTTTTTTTTAAGGCTCCAACATGTTAGCTTGAGTTTGTAAATTATAACTTTATGTATTTTAATTTTATAGACCAATCTCTTAAAACAACTGTTCAGAAAGAGACCTTTCTGAAGAAAGATTTCAAAATCGTCTTCTAGTCCTCCTTGAATTTCTTTGTGATCAGTCATGATCTTTTTTAACCCTTCAGTCTTTTTCTAAAACAAAATGGGTAATTGGCATTTAAATGCCTTTGTATATATCTAATAAGCAGACAACAACCTGAAGAGGAAGTACAAGCTGCCAGCTCCTCATTAGCTTGACTGGCAGGCTTGTTGTACAAGGCATGCTTTGACATTTAGAGTCTCCAGGTTAAAACCTTGTTTTTACTCTTTGCTCTGTCCTCTCTGCCCTCCTTCCCTCTACCCTCCTTTTTCTTTCTTTCCTTGAGACAGGATATCATGTAGCCTAGGTTGGTTTCAAACTCATTGTGTAGCTTGGACATTGGCCTTGAACTCCTCTGTCCACTTCTTGAGTGCTTATATTCCAGGAGTGTGCCATCACACCCAAGTACTTTTTTCTTTTTTGAGGTTTTTTTTTTTTTTTTTTTTTTTTTAGGTTATAAATGTTTCTGATGCTTTATTTATTGTCATTTATTTTTTTCTTAGTTGATAGGAGATATGCATTGCTTCTGGAAAAATTTGAGAATATTGATACTCCCCAAAAGAAGAAAGCTAAGTAGCCCTTTCACCCAGAGATGGCTTTCAGCAGGATTATGAAGCGCCATCAGACCCACCCTAGGCAGTTTAGAGTTTATTATTATGCATCTTCAGCAGCATAGGCAAAACCTTCCTTCTTAGATTTGTGTTTCTGTCATTAGTACAGACTGGTGGTTTTATAGTCATTGGTCAGTCATTAAAATTGTTGTGAGTATATATTCATGTTAGGATGAGTTTCATAAAGCTATTTTCACTCACATGACTTTAACTGAATTCACACTTTTTATTGGTCATTCTTATCTCTTGTGAGAATTTTTGTTAATGTGTGAAAGCCTTGACTGTATAAACAATGTTAACCTTTTGTGGTGGGTATTGTAAGTTCTCTGTGTCTGTGATATGCTTGTTTTAAGAGTTGGGTTCAGCTGAGCTGTGGTGTCATGTGTGACCACTGGTGCAGTGAAATAGGCCTTTCTGATTTGGAACATGCTTTTGTAGTGGGGCTATCCTTCACGTAAAAAGAATTGTAGGGAATCTTTTTGGACACATTTTCTGATAGAACTTTGCAAAAATTAAGACCATGTGTTTTTAAAGAGTTGTAATGTAAACTGAGTGTGGTAGATTACATTTATAGTCCCTGCACTCAGGAGGCCAAGGTAGGGGGATTATGAGTTCAAGGCCAGGCTGGTATCTACAGGAAGTTTAAGGCAAGTCTGGGCTACATAGTGAAACCCTGTAAAACAGAACTGTCATGTTGAAATTAAGAGTTTGAAAAGGGAGATTATTTTAGCATTTAAAATTGAAGTAGCTGGTATAGTTTTGAAATTAGCAATTGCAAATCGAGAACGTGTAAATGACAACAAGAAGTCTTGCTCTACATGAGTTAACTAATGATTCTGGTATTTATTATAATTCCAAACAGTTTTTAGGATAGTAAGTGGCTGAAATTCATGATATGTCTCCTTTTAAAAATTATTTCCCCTAAATCTGCCTGCCTGTACGAATTTAAGTTTGGCAAAGTAAATCTTCTAGAGATGTAACTTTGAAAGAATTTTGTACTTTGAGAATTTAATCTTTTTTAGGTTAGAATATTCTGATTTTATATAACATAGTGTATAAACCCTAGAGGAGAGATTGTCATTGATGTTTTAAGCCCAGAGAGATTAAGTAAATATAATGGAAACTAGAACTCCTAAGAATATATTTTATAGTTAACAATTTCATCATAGGTCTGTGAATTCAGTTTTATAACAGACTTTGAGAAACTCAGGCTGATGAGGACTGTCAGTGGATAAATGGTTGCTAGAGAGACTGGTGGTCATGAGTCTCGTCATATTGTTGTCCAAGTTTCCTTCCTCACTGCCAAAAAGCAGCACTAGCTACAGCTTTTATAGGTATAAGGAAGAAAAGAGGTTTTTAATAAAGTTTAAATTTATTCAGACAAAAAATACATTTGAGTTGATAGAATACCCCAAATTATGACCACATTTAAAAAAAAGGAAAAAAAAAGGCTAAAAGAAAAATTAGCCATTTGGTTAAGCTGCAGTAGTGATGGTGTAGGACAGGAAGGTGAGAGTAGGCGTCCCATTTACAATCATAAATCCAGCAGACGACATCTTTACGTACAGTTACGCATATGGTCGGAGAGATGCACTGTCAAGTTTGAAAAGGAGACAGTAGTCACTGCAAAGCTAGAAACATGTACCAGTGTTAGACCATCTCAAAATCTACCCATTAGGGGGGTCCCTCAGTTCCTGGGGTGACTGCAGTGCTGCAGTGCGTCGTATTTGGATTAAATAGTAAGTTGTTAATTAAAACACTTAAGTCACTCAAGGCTTTCCCGTTGTTTTAGGACTTGTTTCTAGAATAGAGTAAGAGTGCAGTCAAGTTAAAATACCTTCCCACGGTGCTTTAACTTAGCCCCCGGGAGACTGGGAACTCTCCAGTCCACTCTGATTTGAAAATGCTTGACTGACCATGTTTTGTGTCTGAGTGCTCTGGATGATGACAGTCTCCCCTGTTAGTTCTCCTCTGGGTGGAAGTGGTCTTTCAGCCCCCTGCCCTCAGTGCTGAACACACAGTGGGTATTTGTTGTCTTTCTTTTCTTAGTTATTTGAAGTATTCTGTAGAGGAATGCTCAAAAGAAGAAAACCCAGGAAGTTTTGGTACTGAACTGTTTTTTAAAAGTCCTTTGGGGATACTTTCTTCGTGTTACAAAATAAAAGATTTTTAATTTAATTATTTTGACAAAAATTTTCTTCATTGATGATCCCAAACATTCTATGATCTCTACAGCTGCAGCAACAAGAGGAGCTTGTTATTTTAAAGGGAGGTGAAGACACTGTAGAATCAGCAGGCAGAAGAAAGGGGAGAAGGCAGAGGATGGAGTTGCAGACCCTACAGGAGGCTCTGAAAGTGGAAATTCAGGTTCACCAGGTATGTCGTGTGTTGGCTACCCATGTATACTGTGTTGCTAAGGAAACAGACCCAGCTCTGTGTTTTGGTCAGGTTATACAATCATTCCAAGACTTAACCAATGACCATGGCATTTGCCCGCAGTTACTGCCCCACAAACGCACTCCTACTGCTTTTGAAAACTTTAAGAAGATATCCCTGACATCTTTTCCAGAAAAAAAAGGGACTGGAAATAGTTTTTTTTCATATCCTAAAGGTATTTGGAAAAAACAACGCTTTTTGCAGTTTTTCTGGCCCATTTGAAGGCCTTTTAAAATACACATGATACCTTCCTTGTGTGTTTTGGCTCTTTTAAATTTATTTTTGATCTTTTGAGACAGGGCCTCCATGGGTTGACTTGGTTGGCCTGGAACTCCCCATGTAAACTCCACTGACTTTGAGCTTGCGTCAGTCCGAATGCCTTTGTTTCCCCAGTGCCGACTTTACTTCACCGTAATAAAGATGAGATGAGCTTAAGCCAAGTGTGTACATACTTACTACACATGCTAACACCTGTGCTCCTCTGTGACTCATCTTTGTGCCTCACTGAAGTGTTTTATTCCTTTTTGATGATTCCAGTCTTTGATAAAGATAATCTGGTTGCTGTTATCAGTATTTAAAATGTTTTAACCCTTATATTTTTATCTCAGATAAAAGTAAACAAACCTTTAAAGTATATAATTATTTATTTATTTATTTATTTTGGTTTTTCGAGACAGGGTTTCTCTGTGTAGCTTTGCGCCTTTCCTGGAACTCACTTGGTAGCCCAGGCTGGCCTCGAACTCACAGAGATCCGCCTGGCTCTGCCTCCCGAGTGCTGGGATTAAAGGCGTGCGCCACCACCGCCCGGCTAGTATATAATTATAAAATGTATATATAAGTTTTATGTTCATTTTATACAGTTGTTTTTATAATATGATAAGCTTAACAATATGTATTTTAATTTGTATATGTTGACACGGAAATATATAAGCATAAACATATAATTATAATCAAGACAGAAAAATAACTACATTGTTAACATTTATTGTATAAACAAACTATTGCTGTTTGTTTCATTTTTTTAGACATCAGCTGGGCATTAGGTTTGAGGCATACAAATAAACATACATGTGCATAATCCTTGGTATTCAAAAGTGATAAATGATGATTTGGCTACTTTTGACCATATAACATTTGTGAATTTGGGGATGGAATGACGGATGAAGGGAACTACTCTGTGTTTGATATTTTGGGTTGAACTCAGGACTTTGCACATGTCAGTGACTGATCTACCACTGAGCTGCATTTCCAGTTAGAATATACTTTTATTTTAGGGTCTCCTTTCAAACTCTTGTCAGTCTTCCTGTTTCAGCTTTCTAAGCACTGGGACTACAAGTTTGAGCCACAACACATACATTACTTTTTAAAAGCGTTTGCTTGGGGGTGTCCTTTCTCTGTTTTTTTCTTGTGTGAGCTAATACAGCATTGATTTCTGAAATTGTTGGGATATACATTGGGTTTTGGATAATTACTGGGTTTTCCTATTGCCCCAGAATTAATGTGGATTAGAGCTGACAGGAAAGCTCTAAGTTTTGTGCTATGTGTGTCGTTGTTGTTTTCCACTTGGAGCTCTTGTTTGGAAGTTCCTGCTGCTGCTTTGGACCTTGTGGATCTTTGCTCAGTAGTCGCCCTGTAGGGTATGCTTCTCTTAGTACACAGTATGCACATCTTGTTTTGTTTGGCCTTGCTTTTGGTCTTTATCGAGGAGAGTAAATATTTATTCATAAAGCCAAAATTTTTTTGGATCAAAATTATTAAAATTATTCTTTTATGTGTATTGCATGTATGTGTACCACATGTGTGCCTGGTGTCTGTGGAGGCCAGAGGAGATTATCAGATCCCCTGGAATTGGAGTTACAGAAAGTTATATGTAAGTGCTAGGAATTGAATCTGGGACCTCTGGGAGAGCAGCCAGGGTTCTTAACCACTGAGCCATCTCTCAGCTCCTGGATGAAAATATTTTAACATAGAGGAATATTGAACCCATTTCAGGTCAGTGGCAAGTAACAAAACTTAAATTCATAATTGTTTAGAGCTGATGTCACCAGTAGATTTTGGGAATATAGTAACAATTTGAAATCTGTGTGAATCAAAGATAATTTTATGGTGGTATATGTGATTTCTAGAATTTTTTTCTCTTAAGAAATTTTAGAATACGGTTTATATTCTTTTAATTTTTCATCATAAGACACATGTCTCAAATAAGTATTTCTTGAAAGAATTATCTATAAATTGAACTTTTTTTAAAAAAAAGATTTATTTTTTAAATATGTATAGTGTTCTGTCTGCCTGTTTGCCTGCATTCCAGAAGAGGGCACCAGATCTCATTATAGATGGTTTGAGTCACCATGTGGTTGCTGGGAATTGAACTCAGGACCTCTGGAAGAGCAGGCAATGCTCTTAACCTCTGAGCCATCTCTCCAGCCCCTAAATTGAACGTTTTAAGTATTATCTTATTTCATAATTTAAATCAAGTATATCACTTACATTAAAATAACAATTTTGAAAAATTTAGTCTTCATGATAATGTTTTAAAGTCTAAAGATTTATAATTAGGGTCAGCAAGGTGACTTGGTAGGAAAAGGTGCTTACTGCTAAGCTTTATGAGTTCGATCCCTGGTATCTACATAGTAGAAGCAGAACTGAGCCCTGAAAATTGTTCTCCACATGTGGGTGCACATGTATGCTCTCTCTTTCTCCCTCATACACATTCTAAATAAAAATAATAACATAGCTGGGCAGTGATGGCACATGCCTTTAATCCTAGCACTCAGGAGGCAGAGGCTAGTGGATCTCTGTGAGTTTGAGGCCAGCCTGGTCTACAGAGTGAGTTCTAGGACAGCCAAAGCTGTTAAACAGAGAAACCCTGTCTAGAAAAACCAAATAAAATAAAATAATAAGTTATACTTGTTGACTCAGGGATATGTATTCTTCTAGTTATTTTAAACACCCTGAATATACGCTGTCAATTTGTTTATATATTTAACTCTTTGTTTTAAGTATAAAATTATAGCCTTTTGCCAGGCGATGATGGCACACACCTTTAATTCCAGCACTCGGGAAGCAGAGCCAGGTGGGTCTCTGTGTGTTCGAGGCCAGCCTGGTCTACAGATCCAGAACAGGCACCAAACTACACAGAAGAAACCCTGTCTCAAAAACAAAAACAAAAACAAAACAACCCCCCCTCAAAAATTATAGCCTTTTAAATTAGATATTTAGTTAAATATTTTATATATATATATATATATATATATATATATGTTTGTGTGTGTCTGAGTATATGTTCTATGCACCTTGTGCATGCAGTGCTCTACTAGGTCAGAAGACAGTGTCAGATTCCATGAAACTAGGGTGATAGGCAGTTGTGAGCCACTTGCTATGAGTGCTGGGAAATAGACCTGGGTCCTCTGCATTAAAGCTAAGTCATCTCTTCAGCCCCCAAATTATAATCCTGTTTTCATCTTTAATTATTATACATTCTATTTGTGTAATTTGCATACCAATTAATGTATTTGAAATTATTTATTTATTTGTGTGTGTGTGTGTGTGTGTGTGTGTGTTTGTGTGTGTGTGTGCATGCATGTGCGTGCACCCACACAGGGCAAGCGTGGATATTGATATCTTTTTCTATCCAACTTTTCTTTTGAGACAGGGTCTCGCACAGAACCTTAAGCTCACTGGTTGGTTGGACTGGCTGACCAGTGAGATTCCAGGATCCCCCTGTCTCTGTCTCAACCCTAGAGTTACAGGTGTACCTCCACACACCTGGCCTATTTTTGTTTGTGTCAGGGATCCAGACTCAGAATTTATGAATGAAGCGCTTTATTGACCGAGCCATCTCCTTAGTCCCCTATCTTTCTATTTTTGAAAAAAAAAATAGCAATAAATCCAAATGATAGTCTTTATTCTGAAAGCTGGTCCTGTTCTGATTGGCTGTATGCTGATGATGCTTGTAGTTCTTGAACAGGATACATTCAGGATAGCCAGAAATGATGCCAGAGCATGGGTCTTGGGTGCTAGGGGGAAGCCAAAGCAAGAATGGACTTTTAACTAAATATTAAAGCAAAAAACACCTTTTGATGCATTTCTGTTTAGGGAAGGAAATTAGGTAAAAGTTAAGCTTTTAAGGTAAAAATCTGTATTAAGAAGTTGCCTAGTGTTGCTGTGGTGGGAGTCTGGTTTCTTTATGTTTTTGCATGTGTAGGCAGAAGCACCAGTGTGTACGTAGTTTATGGTCAATAAATACTTAAGTGATGGTGGCCATTTTTTTGGGGGGTCACCTACATTTAATTGTGTGTGTGTGTGTGTGTGTGTGTGTGTGTGTGTGTGTGTGTGTGTGTATACACTGGAATCTGTTTCAGAGTATTAACTCCATATGGGATGGAGACTAGTGTAAAGCAAGCAGAAGTTAACAAACTTTCTCAGTAAAGGGCTGGATGGTGAAGTATTTTAGACTGCAGGTCATTCATAATCTGTGTCACTCTGCTGTGCTGTTGAGCAGACAGGTCAGCCACCGACAGTGGATAAACACATGGGTGTGGCTCGGTTCCTAAGACTTTATTTAGGAAGCAGGTGGTGGTCTGGGTCTGGCTGCTTGGCTGTTGTTTTCTTATCTTTGATATAATATAGATCATGGAAAATGGTATCAGTCATTGAGTGGAAAATGACTTTGATGACGCAATTCCAGTTGAATGTCACCTGGGGTATGGATGGCCTAGTGAGTTCCTCGTCTTGTCTTGTTTGTGTAAATGTGGTTTAACTACATGTACATAGAAAAGCTGATTTATTTATTTTCTGGAGAGGTAGATCTTACTAGTCAGTTTTTAAATTCTAGTGCCATGGGCTACATCAATTGCTTAGAGGTTAAAAACCCTTGTCACTTTTGCAGAACCCAGGTTTGGTTCCCAGCACCCACATGGTGGCTCACAGCCATCTGTAACTCTAGTTCTAGGGGATCTGACACCTACCTCTGACATCTGAGGGTGACAGGCCTGCATGTGGTGCAAACATGAAGCAGAATATCATACACATACTTACATGCAAGCAAAAAACTTATATACTTTAAATAAATAGATAGCAATAAAAAAAATCCAATGTTATGGAAAAAAAAAACCCTCTTTCAGCCTCAAAAATAACTTTACAGAGAATAACCAGTTCTGCAGTAACCAAATCAAAAAGGACACTCAGACTTTATTTTTTATTTTTAAAGTATTAATTACATTTATTTATTTTATGTGTGTGTCAGTTTGTGTGTCACAGCACACATATAGATGTCAGAAGGCAACTCTGTGGAATAGGTTCTTTGCTCGACCAGGTGGTTTCTAGGAATAGAGCTAAGGTTTTGAGTCTTGGGTGGAAATAACCTTTGCCCACTCAGCCGTCTCCCCAGCCCAAATCAGTTTCTAAAATGGAAGTGTGGCAAGATTTGTAAGGATGTAGACATTCCATTCCATTGGGCTCATAGACAGTGCATTACTGCACAGATTTCGATGAGGCTACTGAAGAGGTAGTTTTGTCAGACATGAAGCAGAATTTCATCATGTACACTTTGTGTATTTGATGGCCTCAGCTATCCAGAATGCATTTTAGTACCAGGAAGAAAGACTTTTGTCCAGTTAGAATACATGTCATATCATTCACCAAGCCTTTCTTGGGCTATTGCAACCGGGTCACTCATCTTAAAATTAGTCCAGTGTGTTTATCACATAGCATTGGAAGCAGCAAGGCTGAGTTGGTGTTCATTGCTTTTAGAAAGTGGCACAATAATAGCAGGGTTTGTTAGCTGATTGCTTGATAATTAAGAATTAAAGGGGTCGACAAGAAGCTAAATGGATAGAGGGCCCTGCTACCAAGCCCAAAGACCTGATTTTAATTCCTGGGACCCACATGGTGGAAAGAGAGAATGAACATCTGAAAGTAATCCTCTTACTTCCACATGTGCACCATGGCACTGGTGCACATACACAAGTAAAATATTTAAAACAATATATATTTAATTAATATATATAAATAAACAAAATATTTAATTTTAAATATTTAAATAAAATATCAATATGTAATAAAAAGAAATATTTTAAATAAAATATTTAATTAATAAAAAAAAGAACTAGGCCAGGTGGTGGTGGCACATGCCTTTAATCGCAGCACTTGGGAGGCAGAGGCTGGTGGATCTCTGTGAACTCAATCAAGGTCTACAGAGCTAGTTCCAGGACAGCCAGGACTACATAAAGAGAAACCCTCAGGAAAAAAAGAAATAAAGAAGAAAGAACTAGACTAAAAAATCTAAAAGGCATAAGGACTCATTATAACATTGTGGTTTGGGGCTTTTTGCAAGTCATATTGTTATATAGTATTGTATATTATCATATTATCACTCCTCTGACTAACTATAAGAGTTTGGTTTCTGTTTAATAAAGTAGATGAGTGTATTGTATATTTTATATTTTTTTATAACAACATTTTAAAAGTGCCTTGTCACCCAAAGAGTGTGACAACTCTTTCTACTATTATATGAAAATTCACTTGGAAAAGAGCTAATCCTAGGTACCCAATCCTGGGTTTTAGGAGGCAGCCTTCTCATATTCCTTTATTGTTTAAATCCCTCTGTCCACAGCTATTGTTACTCTTGGGTTTTTTTTTTTTTTACCAGTTGGGTTAGATCAGATGATATCTATTTATTATTTGATGTGTATGAGTGTTTTGTCTGCATGTATATTTGCATCATATGTGTGCCTGAAGCCTACAGAGGCCAGAAGAGGGGACCCATCTCTGGGCCTGTAGTTACAGGGGATTGAGAGCTGACAGCACAAAGTCACTTGACACGAGGCTCCTTCTACTGTGAGGTACAAACCAGTAGGCCTGCCAGACCTTTACTTTGCTGGATACAAACAGCCCTGTTTGTGTCGGTACAGCTTCTTTACAGACCTTGTTTGGGAATCCAGATGGTGACAGTATTTTAAAGGGCGCCTTTAATCCCAGCACTCGGGAGGCAGAGCCAGGCGGATCTCTGTGAGTTCGAGGCCAGCCTGGGCTACCAAGTGAGTTCCAGGAAAAGACGCAAAGCTGCAAAGAGAAACCTTGTCTCGAAAAAAAAAAAAAAAAAAAAAAAAAAAAAAGGGTATTTGGCCTTTGGAGCATCCTACTTATTTGTTTTGTTTGTTTGTTTTAAGATAGGGACTCACTATGTAGCTGTGGCTGTCTGGAACACACTATATAGACCAGGTTGGCCTCGAGCACACAGAGATCTGCCTGCCTCTGCCTCCTGTTTGCTGGGAGTAAAGGCATGCATCACTCTGCCTGGCCTGTACATCCTGCTTATTTAAATTGCAGAAGTCACTATCCTCCTCCACACTGACAAATCAGGTACTTTTTTATTTTAAAAATAAAGGGATAGTTGATTCTTTATTCTGTTACAAAGAGTGCTTCAATAGTCTTTTACAGACCTCACCAAAACTTTTGGTCTATTTTGATGGTGATACTGATTTATTTTTATTTTTTTTTTTGTGCGTGCATGTTTGCGTGCATGTGTGTGTTCCCAAACCTAGATAGCCATAGGAGTTAGGATGTGAAACTGACGGTTCTTTTTCTCTTTATTACTAGAAACTGGTTGCTCAAATGAAGCAGGATCCACAGGTAAAAATTTCTGTTGTTATTAACTTAATTTTTAAATGTAAAATCAATTGAAAATGACAATAAACTAGTAAAATGCAGATGTTAGTTAAATTTAAAAGTTTCATCCCAAACAGCACATATATTTGCATGTTGATATTTATGTTTTATAGGTCTAAAAAAATCCAGTTGTATAAAATTGCTATCATTTCAACCTTGTTACTGTTATTTTGCTTTTTTGTTAATTGCTATGAATATTTGTTTAAAAAAAAAGGTTTAACAGGCTTCATATAGCTTAAATTTCTTTCTTTAAAAAGCTACTTTTGAAGGGAGTGGGGTGTATATGTGTAACAGGCTTCATATAGCTTAAACTTCTTTCTTTAAAAAGCTACTTTTGAAGGGAGTGGGGTGTATGTGTGTGCACGCTTTTAATCCTAGCACTTGGGAGGCAAGGCAGTGCATCTCTGAGTTTGAGGCCAGCCTGGTCTACAGAGCAAGTTCTAGGACAAACAGGCAAACAACTGTTGACACTCTACCTGGCTGGCTTGAGGCTGTCCATCCTCCTCCCCTGAGCTCTCAAATGCTGGGATTACATGCTGTGTCTCCATATATGGCTTAGATTAAATTCACATATTCAGAATTAAGCAGGCTTTTAAAGTCTCAAAACTTATGAAATGCCCCCAAACCATTTTTAATTGTGTGGAGTTTATATATAGGACACCTGAATATCGGATTTACTACATCCACAGTAAAAATTTTAGAATAATTTATAAAAAGTTTGAAATTTACATTTTGTTTTGTTTTTTGTTTTGGGACAAGATCTCATGTTCCAGGATAGCCCCAAATTTCCTATGTAGCTAAAGATGACATTGGCTTCCTATTACTCCTGCTTTTAATTCTCAAGTGCTGAGATTATAGGTATGTGCCACCATACCTGGCTTTGAAATTTCTATATCTAAAAGAACCCTTAAAAAGAGTTTAGAGGTATCTTATATAATATAATAGTTGATAAAATGTTAAATTTAATTTTTATAGGAGTTTTGACTTGGAAATTTTATTCTCTTCTATGGAGAATTCTTTCTCCAAAGTTACCTTGCCCTCTAGTGATTCATATTATTCAGGTAGTGTCTTCTTGGCATCCATTAGACAGTGGGTCATACATGCCTCTCTATAAAGTAAAATAAATTCTTGAAGAGTAGTACTAAGGCAGATTAATTTTTTCTTTTTAAGTTGGTACAGTATTCATCTCGACTCAGTGGTCTGACTGTTGTATTAATAATTCATTGACTCTGAGAAGTAGCCTTTGTGGCCACATCTGCCTTCCATCAGAAACATGCCTTTTTTAATGTTTATTTAGTGTGTTCACAATTTAAACTGAATTTAGGGAACCAAGTAGCAACAGATTGCCAGGTCCTTTATATTTAATATGGTGATCTATATTGTCAATAATTAAAGTAGTTTCAGAAGCCAGCAGTTCTGATAATTCATGATCATATAACAGTAAATTCTTAACCTGGAAAATCTGAGGGTCAATAACTTATTTGACAACAGTTTAGGTGCCTTCAGAGAAGCCTTATGTTAAATACACCTGAACAATCCCAAATGAGGTAAGCTGAGTACAGAAAGAGTATGTGCCCCAACCCCGACAGACCAGGCAGGGAAATGAGGAACTGTGTGAAACAAGTAAGTCTCTCACTGGGGTAACATTCCGCTTTCCTGCTATGTTAAGCACTTGAAAACTTTAATATCCCATTCCCCCACCTCCCTACCCCCACCCCCGCAAAAGGCAGACATGCTCAGTGCATTTCATCTCAAATAGTACTATTTTTCGATTCCTAGAATTTCAGCATGTTGATTTGAATGATGTGCTGTTAAGGCAGTCACAGTGCTGACAGCTTTCCAAATCTAGGCTAAAATAACAAATGTATTTTACTAAATAAGAGAGAGGACAAGTAGAGAAAAGCCTCTTATCTTTGTTGATAATGCCGCTAAGCAGCGGGGTAGCGTCCTTTAACCTCCATTTTCCTGTTTTTGTCTGATTAGTGGAGCTTTAGGTTTTCTGTCAACTGATACTTTCCATAAAGAATAACAATATTTTAGGAGAAAGGTACTATTAGAGTGCAAGATGAGATTGTATAAAACTTCCTGTAATTTAAAACAGTTAAGAGGAAGCTGCTCCATTCTGTTTTAGGGGTCGATGTTATGCTTATAATTTAATGCATGGAAAATTTGATAGCTAAAGGTTGCTTCAGCACTTGTAATGCAGTATATGCATAAACTTCCTGATACTATTATGTTAACAAATGAATATCTTTCTCACAGATATTTTTTCTTTCCAATCAGAATGCTGACTTAAAGAAACAGCTTCATGAACTCCAAGCCAAAATCACAGCTTTGAGTGAGAAACAGGTAGGGGAAGGCGGGGACATATTTTTAACATTGTGTTCTAAAGATATGTGTGCTTGAAGCTTCTAAGAGAACTGCTGTTTTTCTTCATGTGTGAAAATAAGTGTGGGCAGCCAGACTCAGTTTAATTTTGCTTGAGCTGTTTATCTATTTTTATTTTTGGTTGAAATCAGTCTCTAGAGTATCCCATGAGTATATGCTACTGGCAGATACCTAAAAGCAATGTGGCAGGCTGCCGTTAATGTGTTAATTAAACTGTAATTTACCCATAGGGGAAGGGGCAAAGAAAGTGGGAGTGGGTGTGATATGGAGTCCTGTAGCAGCTGTGTCGTCTTCTTAACTGTTCAAAGATTTGAGCTGACATTTAACTTATTAGGTGGCTCTCCATGTAGGTCTCCTATTGTCAATGTTGTCAGACTTTTATGCTGATGTTCATCAGATGCTGACTTACTCTTTGAAAACTCTTGGATGGAATTTGTTGGAGTCATTCTATGTAGGGCAAGAAAGGCCATCTTGTGTTTTGTACAAGGACTTCTGCAAAGTGCTCTGGTCACTTTGTAGACCAGCTTCCACTTTACCTGCCACCAGGTGGAGTGTGACAGTCACTGGTGCTCTAGGTACATGCCTGTGGTAATCTATGAATCATCCCCTTTTCTTCTTTGCTCACTCTTCTCCCTCTAGTTAAAAGAGCAGTTTCTGTCCTGGAGTAATGAGCAAATAGCTGTGAACCAGTTGACAGTTCAGTGCTAGTGAAATCTTCCTGAAGAGTTTTGTCAAAATGGTCTTCAGTACCTGAGTTTTATGTTGTAGTCTAAATAATAGCAACAAATAATTTTTTTCCTGCAGACTTCTGATCATGTTTTTCATTTCATTGAAGGGAGAAATAAACTTTGAGAACCACAGATAGTTAATCTCCTAAGCTGGGTGAACCACTGTTTTTGATTCCTCTTTCTTTGGTGCTTTCCAATCTTGTCCCTCCACAGACAGTGTTTTAGATTAGGAGGAGCCAGAGTAAAACTGGGAGGTGATGGGCTGCAGAGGAGGGAAAAATTTGTAAGAGAAAATGTAAGCAGGACTTGTTAGTGTGTGACTGGGTTCTCTAAAGTGAAGTATGTTGGTGACAGTGTCTGCCTTTACAGCTCTGTTTCGTTCTGAGCCTTCTGATAGTTGCAGGGTTCCTTTGACAAGATGCCAATGAGTGAGTCACTTTTGCTGAAAGTTTCATGTATTCTAGCAGAGAGAAGTTGAAAATGATTAGTGGAATGGGGGTGGGAAATGCTTTTACAAAGTTAAAAGAACTCAAGGTGCATTTCAGGGAAATGGGGCAATCAAAGAAAAAATTACATTTATTTGAAAATTTTGTTTGTGACAACTAGTGTGAAGGTTTGTGTCTTAGTCACTGTTCTATTGCTGTGAAGAGACACTATGACCAAGGCAACTTTTTTTTTGGGGGGGGGTTTCAAGACAGGGTTTCTCTGTGTAGCCACTGGCTGTCGTGGAACTTACTCTGTAGACCAGGCTGGCCTCGAACTCAAAGATCTGCCTTAATCCCTTCTGAGTGCTGGGATTAAAGGCATGCACCACCACCGCTTGACTACCAAGGCAACTCTTACAAAGGAAAACATTTAATTGGAGTTTGCTTACAGTTTCAGAGGCTTAATCCATTCTCATCATGGCAGGGAGCATTGTGCTTGAATAGTAGCTAAGAGGTATATCAGATTCACAGGCAGAGCATGGGGTATGGGAAGATGGGGATGATGGGGTGGCGGGGAAGGGGGGTGCAGCAGAGAAATAGAGGGAAGGAGGGAAGGAAGAGGGAGAGGGGGAGAGACTGGGCCTGATGGGATTTTGAAGCCTCAAAGCCTGCCCCCAGTGACACACTTCCTCCAACAAGGCTACACCTCCATATCCTTCTAATCCTTTCAAAGAGTTCCACTCCCTGCTGACTAAGCATCCAAATATATGAGCCTATAGAGGCCATTCTTATTCAAACCACTTCAGTTTGGTTTATTCTGTAACTTCTTATTCTTGGCTGACCTCACTTAGAATTATAGTTGTCTAGTCATCACTGACAGAAACATCAGAAAGACCCTAAGCTGAAATGCAGTCTTTCAGATTTGTATTTGCCTAAACTATAAAACAGCCTTCTTGATAGACTAGGACAGGACCGTGTTTAAAGAAGCTGTCCAATGTGAGTGCTGACTCTTCCTCAGCATTCCAGCGGAAATCTTGCTGTTACTCATCAGACTGAAATCTAAAAGAGTTTGATTTTGTAACGAATTTCTGATGCTACCTGTTCTTCCTTGTCAAAGACTACTTAGACCTTGGCAAAACTTTTCCTTTCACTTTAGTAGCTAAAATCTGAGTTATCTTACTCATATGACTAATAGTTTAGCTTAACATTATGTTTTTGTTGTGAGAAAAAGTTAAATACAGAAAAGTCTGAAGAATAATGTCATAGTTACAGTTAAAGACTTAATCCTTGGTTGTTTTTTTGGTTTTTTTTTTTTTTTTTTGAGACAGGGTTTTTCTGTGTAGCCCCAGAACTCACTCTATAGACCAGGCTAGCCTTGAACTCATAGAGATCCACCTGACTCTGCCTCCCGAGTGCTGGGATTAAAGGTGTGCACGGCCACTGCCCAGGTCTCGATACATTCTTATATATCTATTTGTAAAGTTAATTGTACAAGTAAAATATAAACATTTTCTTATTTTTCTTTATTAAAGAAATACAACATTGCAGATAGTCATCAATTCTTAGAGTAGACTTACTACGTTCTTATTCATTAATGCAACTTCAGTCTTTGATAGTGCTTTGTTTGGGAAAATACAGTCTTCGGTGAGCATCCTCTGTGGCTAAAACCCAATGAATTTCCTTGAATGCTTGTTTGGAAATTTCTAGTGCTTTCAAACTGTAGCTTGAGATTCCTGAATAGAAATTCTAGGGTGGATTTAGAAGGCAGCTTCACCTACAGGGATTCAATTTGTCTCTGACAGTTAACTCAAAACATTCCTAGATTCAGTTGGCTAAATAAATTGTATGCTATGTAGCCAATTAAAATCATGGTTTAGTGATGTAGAATAGCTTCTGCTAAGAGACATTTATGATTTAATGTACGTTACATGTGTGTTGGAATACAAATGTATGTGAAAGCAGTATCAGTAGAAAATGTTGGGAGGTGGTGATTTTACATATAGTTGTGTAGCTGGAATTTTCTCCAGTCCCACTCCAGTTCCACTCAGGCCCCCGCAGCTCCACAGCCCACTTATAAAATAATCACTCAGAGCTGGGCGGCGGTGGCGCACGCCTTTAATCCCAGCACTCGGGAGGCAGAGCCAGGCGGATCTCTGTGAGTTCGAGGCCAGCCTGGGCTACCAAGTGAGTCCCAGGAAAGGCGCAAAGCTACACAGAGAAACCCTGTCTCAAAAAAACAAACAAAAAATAATCACTCAGAAGCTCATATTAATTAAAATTGCTTGGCCATTAGCTCAGGCTAACTATTGACTAGCTCTTATATCTTAAATTAACCCAATTCTATTAATCTATGAGTTGCCACGTGGCTTGTGGCTTACCGGTACTTTTACATCTTGCTTCCTCTGTGTCTGGCTGGCGACTCCTGACTCAGCCTTCTTGTTCCCAGAATTCTCTATATTGCTGGTCCCACCTATACTTCCTGCCTGGCTACTGGCCAATCAGCATTTTATTTACCAATCAATCAATCAATCAATCAATCAATCAATCAGAGCAACACATTCATAGTATCCCCAGCATAGTTGTTTTTCCCCCTTATTCTCCTGTGTGTGTTTTTAAAAAATCTGCATAATACATATGTTTCATTTTAAGATAGGGGAAAAAAAAACAAGAAACATTATTCAAAAAAAATTTTTTGACAGCGTTTTTGGTCTGTCCCTGAATAGTTAGCGTTTGAAAACTGTGTGACATTCTCTTCATGATAGATGATCCACTCTAATCAGAGAATTCAACTATTTTGAACCATAGTGAGGCTAACGTGTGGAAGCAGTTATTCATTTCCTTAACAGGATTTATTCTCATTCTACACTTCCCCCTCCATTTATATCTGACAGGCAATATGTGGTCCGTGGCAGAATAGAGAGATTCTGATTCTGGAGCCAAAATGCTCAGGTGCTTTAGTATTCTGTTTTAATTCTAATTTCTTGTAAAAACAATCTTTTTCCTCTTCCTCTTCTTCCTCCTCTTCCTCCTCATCTTCCTCTTCCTCCTCCTCTTCATCCTCCTCCTGTTCTTCCTCTTTCTCTTCCTCCTCCTCTTTTTTTTTTTTTTTTCTCTTGAGAGTTCTGGGGATGGAACCCAGGGCTCTGTGCATGTTAAGCAAGTGCACTATTATAACTGCACTACACCTCTAGCCTAACAGGCAGTCTTAACATTCCAAAGTGTGTCTCTTGTCCTAGGAGGATTTAGGCCAAAGTTGATGTTTGTTCAAGTAGGCTTTCCCTGCCTCAGTTTGCCAGCCTCCCTCTCTGGCTTGCCCACACTGCTGAAAGTTGTTACTTGCTCTGAGGAGCCAACCCTGAAGCCCCTTTCTCCACTCCTAATCTCGTTGAAGCCTCTTTTTTTTCTTTATGGTAAATGCCGTTTGCAAGCCGGTTTGTCTGTGAATGAAACCCCCACATAAAGATGGCTTGAACGGGCATATTCCTACTTCTCTGTCGTCCAGAAGCTCTGTAGTGGACTAGGTTGGAAGGAGCATGTCTACAGTGTCAGCGACCCAGGCACCTCCTGTTCTGATGCTCTGCCATTCTCAGCATGAAGCTTCACATCAGAGTCCTAAATAGCAACTCCATCTGGTGACAAGGGGGAGATCAGCAGAGAGGGAGCCCTGTATTTTTAAGGATGTTTACTGGGAGCTTTATGTACCTTTCCAGTTAAATCTCTTTGATTTGAACTTATTTACATGGCCTCACTAGTTGCAGGGAAGACTGGGAAGTGTAGTTTATTTCTGGAGGCTGTGGCCAGATAAATT